TGCTCCGGCTCCCTTACGCACGCTCCAACCTTTGCTCCGCCGGGGTGGGACCACCTGGGCTGGGGAACAGCCCCACAGGCCTGGGCATGCTTCTGGTGGGCTTGGGGGCAGACAGCAGGCAAGCTGGCTTCTGACGCAGGTTGCGGAGGCCCAGGAGCCCGGCCAGGCCAGCCTGGAGGGGCAGCTCAGTGCTCTGGTGAAAGCACAGCATGCCAGGATCCCCAAAGGTCATCTAGTCCAGCCCCTGCCTGGCGCCAAAATCTCATAATTACAGCATTCCTGATGGGTGGGCAGGATAGCTTCTGCCTAACCTGAAGGATAACCCACCTGCCCCCAAGGTTGACTGTTACGACATGCTGGCAGGGGCTGATGGGAGTCATAGCTCAGCAAACCCAGAGGGTGCTAAGTTTGGAATGGTGCTGTAAGAGATGGGGGCAGGTTTGTGGTCATGCACTCTTGGTTTAGCTGTGTTTTAAAACCCCCCAACCTGCACAGTGTGGATTCCAAAAGGACAATGAGGACCAGCTCCTTGCCCTTTGATTTTTAGAAATGTGTAATTCTCGGCAAATTTGCCTGATTGTGGCTCAGATGGCCGGGCAGGGCCGCACGTGCAGGCGAGACAGCAGTTAACTTGGGGGGGGTGGTATGTGGGAACAAAGCAAGGCTCTCGCTTGCTGCAGGAATGCTGGGCGTGCATTTTGCACACGCAGCACAGACACACACGAGTTAACAGCTTGGCTCCTCAGGCCGGGGCGGGGCTCCCACCTGCTCCATCCGTCAGCGGCCCATCCAGCGCCAGGAGTGGTGCCATCCGCCGCAGCAGGGCGGGCGCCTTTGTTCTGCTGCCAGCGCGATCCTCTGGACGGGCCTCGTCTCTTGTGAGGCAGCAGCCCGAGATGAGCCCCCCCCACCCCTGGTCCGCCTGGGGCGCCCCCTCGGAGGGGGCAGCTGAGGACGCGATCCCATGCAAAATGCATGCCCCCCCGCCTGCCCCACATCTCCCACAAGGGAGGAGGCGTCTCTCCCAAAACCCATTCGATCCGGCTTGAGCTTCGATCCAGCCGCACAGGCAGCATCCTGATGCCGGGCAGGGGCTGCGAGCCAGAGGGCCCTGGCCAGGGCTGGCGTGGGGGCGACCCAGGCCGCAGTGCCCATGGCTGGGGGTCACGCCCTCCGCAATTCCTCCAGAAACACGCCCACAGGTCCTCTCTGGATTCACGCTCACTGCGCCTGCTCACTCGCACAGCCTCCCCACAAGCACACCCCTGCCTCCCCCTTCTGCCCATAGCGGGGGGTGCCAAACGGAGCCCGCGTTCTGACCCATGGGGCTTCTCGGATTTGGGCCAGGGAGCTCTTGCTCCCCATCCTGGCCCAGCCCAAAGGACCCCCCCCCCCCCCGCTGGAGCAGGTTGATCGCATCAGTAGGTACGGCCGGGTCAATGCAAAGCTTGACTATCCATCAGTCCAGGCGAGCGATTCACGGTTAGCCTGGCCCTGTGCAGATTTACTTGGGTGCAGGTCCTGCTGCGTAATCTTTGGTGCCTTTAGCATGTCACCGCGCCGCTTCCTTGCAGAGGGGGCTCTCCCGCCACTCGGGTGTGTTCCTTCGAAGTTTTCTGTCGCGAGACTGAGAGAGAGATGCCCTGTTCTGCAGGGAAATGGTCCCTACTCCTCCTCCAGCTCCAACCAGCCTTGCAAATCGGCCCGTGCGACTTACTAGTCCTCATGGTTTGCCCAGCCTCGGTCCCTTGTGGCACACGGCAGTGGCCCCAAACAAGAATCCACTCCCTACCGATTTACAAGATCATCACCATCATCTTCTGTGTCTGGTCAGTTCGATCGGAATCTTTACCCACCCCAGGCATGTTGCAGGAGTAGTAATTTTACAACCCCGCCTCCAACCCTTCTGGAGAAATGGGGAGAGAATTTCCAGCTTCGTTTTGAAACACTAAGTAAATAGATTCTCCGTGCTCAGGCCTGCTCCAACCTGCCCCATTTTCCTTGCATTTTGTCTCGCTGTACAAGCAGACATAGCTGGTACATCCATCGCTTGTGCTGGGAAAGGGGGGCCCCCAGTTTGTCTGAGCTGAATGCACTGGCTGACCCCCCCCCCCCCCCCCGCCCGGCCTGGTCCTGGCAGTGAGAAGGGAGCTATGGATCATGTAAAAATGTTGTGTCAGTCTCTTATCTGAGAAGTTTATCTTGGGAGAGAAAGGTTGAAAGATTCTGTCAAAGTTTCTGGCTCGGTTGCAACTCTGCTCCTTTTTATAGTGCATTGACACAAAAGCAAAATGCAACCTTAGTTTTCTCTATCCAATATCCCCACTTGACACATTTCCTCCGACACTCGTTTGCAGAATTGCAGGCCTAGCTTGCTCTTTGCTTTCCCTCTGCCTCCCGGATGCTGCAGGCTGGAACGGCTTGGCCTCCGCAGCATTGGCCTGAAAGACCTTGTGACCCGCTGACAGACAGACCCCTTGAGGCAGGTAATAACTCATCCCTTTTGTCTCCCAGAACGGTGAGATATCTACCCTGTTACAAACAACAACACAGCCTAGTAAATCCAGCTGGGTTGTGAGTCAGAGGCGGTGTCTGAAAACCGATGAAGAAGGGGAATTCTGGGACGAGGTGTGACTGACCGAAAGTCACCCAGCGGCTGTTATGGGTGGGATGGATGGTGGTTGAACTTGGATTTTTCCCATCCTAGTCCACCTCTTAACAACTATGGCTGTGCCATGTTGGATTTATTGTGGTAGTCTGCCGCCCTGTCTAACCTGCTGCCCACACCAAGCCTCTGAGCAAGTTTTTCAATCCTGAGCTTTTTCAACGACTGTCTTGAGAATGCTCTGAAGCAATCTGTGCCAAAAAGGAAGACAGTGGGACTATTGCATAGTCTTAAGAAATAGAGGCCTCTTTGTGCTTGGATTTCTGATGTCCACTTTTGCACCCAGGGCAGCAAGAGGACCCTTCCTTGTTGTGCCCCTGCTTCTCTTGCAGGAAAAAGCAAGTCCTCGGACTCCATGAGAGCAAAGCTGAACAGGATCAGTTTTCTGGACTGACTGTGCATTTATTTATTTATTTATTTATTAAAACATTTCTATGCCGCCCCATTTGCCGAAGCCTCGGGGCAGCTCACAACATAAAGTTAAAATACAAAAAAATCACAATATAGAATAAGTAAAATAAGTAACAATATAAAATAAGTCGCCCTGGCCAGATAAAATAAGCAAATACTATTAACAATACTATACTATACTACTATACTATACTATACTATACTATACTATACTATACTATACTATACTATAATACTATAACCAATTCAGGGCTGACAAATGTGCAGTCACAAATCAAAGAGCCACCCGGAGAGTCATCTTGGCTAATGAGCAAGGTTTCACTTTAATAAATTAATAATAAACAGTGAGTTTTCTTCTGGGTGGGATGCACCGGAACAGAGAGAGGGCGAACCCCCAACCCCTCATTCATTGCTTAAAGCCCTTCCAAGAAAATGCTTGGGAATTTATTCATCCAGTCAGCGGGTGAAGCACTTTGCTTCATCCATTTATTGGGATTTTATTATTTGGCTTATGAGTCTGCATATTTTCCTTGAATCCTTCAAGAAACTTCGCATTGGAGAAACATCACATTGCATCGCTTCTTTGGGAAACCCCGTCACCCCGAAGTTATTTCTAATGCAACTTGTGAAAAGGAAGCAGCGACCTCAAAGGCAGCCTTAAATTTGTTTCTTGACCCGGACACAAATATTACTGGTCCTGTGGCGCCTCCTGCCGGAAGCTCCTTGACCTCGCTGTTCTGAGCAGAGGGATGGGCAGGGTGGCCCTGATGGGAATGTTGTGGCTGTTTCCCTAGCAAAAGCCACACTGCTTCATTCACGCTTAGCATCAGTCCACTTGCACCCGAGTAAATATGCACAGGGCAGGCTAACTGTGAATCGCTCGCCTGGTCTGATAGATAGTCAAGCTTTGCATTGACCTGAAATCAGGGGTATGGTCAGGGGAGTGTACATGGGAAGGACACAACCTTGGACCCAAATCTTCCCCTGGCCATTTTATCCGCACAGGAACCCTGTGAAGTCGCCTAAGCTCAGAGTCAGTGATGGGCCTACAGCTTCACGATTGTGGAGGGACGAGACCCCAGGTCTCCCCAGTGCAACATCCAAACCGTTCCACCCCAGCACGTGTCCGACTCAGCCCTGTACAACCGCACTGTATGTCTTATTCGGGGCTGCAACCTGGCCCAACATCTTGTTTTCAGACTGATTCGTTCATAGTAACAGCTCCTGTGCAGCTCAGCCTGGTCAACCTGCCCCATTTTCTTGCAGTCCCTCATGCATGGTTTACTCGCCGGAACGAATTTCCACTGCACTGGCGTGGCCGGGAGGCACCCCCAGCCCAGTCCCTGCCTCTTCCATCAGGCGGTAAGGGGGTTTCTACAGCACCAATCTGCCCCAGCCACACTTCGGAGGGGGTGCCATTGACCCCACCTGGCTTCAGAGCAATGCCAAGTTACTGCATCTTGCTTGTAACTGCAGCCGGAATCCTCTGGTTCTTTCTCTTTCGCGTCATTCCTTCCCACAACATGGATTCTTCTGTTCTTTGCAAAGCGGCGCACCTAACAAGGGTTTGAACCCCTTTCAGCCTGAGAGCTGAATTCTCTTTTGAAGAAGGTGGGGCAGGTTGGTGGGCGAACATCCCCCGAGTGGGTGTGGGCAAAAGCCGCCATACTCTGCCTTTTAAACCTCTGCCAGTCAGGACTGGGGGAAGTTTTCAGCCGTTTGGAAAGGGGCAATGCACAAAAGCCAGGAAACAGCCAGTGCTCCACAGTTGAGGGAAAGGCGGTAGCTATTTGGCAAGCCCCAAAGGGCCGGTTTAGGACTCCAAGAAGTCCTGGGTATATATACAAGCTGATATATAAAACAGAAGAAAGATTGCTTTCCAATGACACAGACGGTGGACAGAGTGGCAATGGTATTGTTTTACAGCTTTACAAAAAAAAAACTTTATTGGGTGTTTGGATTTGGCTGAGCTGGGAATCCCCCTTTCCTTCCCACAGTCCCCCGCCAGCTGGGGGCCCCCAGGCATCAATTCCTCTTCCTGCTTTTGCTGATGGTCTTGGCGGGCACGGGGACCGGAGCTGCCGACTGGTACAGAGTGGAGGAGATTTTGTTGATGTAATACAGGGCCACCATGGAGAAGATGAAACTGGGGAACGAAAAGCAGAGTGGGAGACAGTGTTAGTCCATGCTCACAAGCTGCACACACACGACACAAATCAGAGACTTCAGTGAGGGATGCAGAACCTCAGACTGGCAGTTGTGGTGTGGTCTGCCTAGGGACCCAATTTGGCCGTCTACATTTCCCCAAAACGCCACGCTCCTTTCTCAACCTTTTGGTGGCTTCCTGGCCTTTGTGTGGATTCCCCCTCCATTCTGCAAAGTTGGAATACTGGCACTAAAAGGTGGGTTACCGGCACTAAGAGCTGTAGACCAAAACAGGCTCTTATCTCCAGAATGCCTCCTGCAAAAGCTCCTATGAAATTAAACTGAGTTGACATTAGTTGAATGAGAGGAAACCCAGCCATCCAGTCACCCTGCCAGTCTCCAAAATCAGGCTAAGAAGGTAGAACTGCCACTCCACCTGGGAAAATCCACTCTGGACTACTGTGGATGGCAGTGGAATCGAACCCAAGACAGACAAAGCTTGCAGGACTGGCTAGCTCTTTCTCTCTCAATTGAGGCCCAAAACATCTGGAGCAGGACTGAGAAGGGCTTTGGGTTGTGTGTTTCTTGGGGATATTTTGCCCTGTCCCCTGTGCTTTGGGCCCCTTGTCCTTACCAGGTGGTAACACAGACGCGATGAATCAAACCTGACACAAACAGGGCCAGCAGTAGGCAGATGACAACTGTAGGGAGGAAAGGGGAGAGGGGTGGGAGAGATCAGGAACAAGAAGGCTGGCCCACAAAATACAAAGCCCCCCCCCCCCCCCCACAAAGCACCCTTATGCTCCATTAGCTTACTTTCTGGGAAGATCTTCGCTTGGAACCCTTTGCCAAAGATTAAGCTTTCGAGGTTGTTGAAGGCCTGGAAAGGTTTTGTTGTCAAGGAAAACATCCTACAATCCACCAGGAAGTGGGGAGGAATCCCTTCTGTCCCACAAACCTCCATCTGCTTTCATCTTCCTTGCTTAAGCCTCAGTTCCCATTAATACCACGCGATTCTAATAGTTTTAGTTCCAACAGCACCCTGCCTCTGAGGTTGGGAGGAGGTTTTTCTATGGATAAATATTGTATTTGAACACTCTTTCCTATTTAGCAACATACCTTTCCTCTTGAATTTTCCACCTGCTTCCAGGAACTTACGGCACAGTCAGCGTAAATGGATTCTCTGCATCCTTTTGAAAGTGAAATACTGATTTTACAATACAACTTGAATGCCGTAGATTGGGGACCTCTCAGCATTTTCCATGAATGGACAGATGGTATGTAAATTCCAACTTAACCTGGATACTTATTTGGATATTTGTTCTGCTTTTGTTAGAAGCTTATGTATGGGTCTTAGAAAGTTGTATTTCCAAACAGATGATGTTGTCATTCTCAGTATCCATTTAACATCATTACTGCTGGAAGCAGAAACGGAAATGTCTAGTTGTGATTATGTTTTGGAATTACTCCATTTGTCTTTCTCAGGGCAAGATTCTGTGTGTGTTTAGACAGAAAAAAGGCCCACAATTCTCGGCCTGACTGAGACAGTATTGTGCTCCTTGCGTGTTTTCACTTAAGACTGACTGCATCCGCAGCAGATCCAGAGCTGGGTTAGTCCGATAGGGGAGGAAACAGTGGATTTTTGTTTTAAAGTTGATGGCATATTAGAACTACATAGATTTTAGGTCCTAAAGGATCATACAGAAACCAAAGTAAACTGTGTTTTACTTCCTGGCTGGATCCTGCTTTCTGGGGAACAGGAAGGCTCACCGGCAGGTGTGTGGAGTTGCCCAAAGCAACTTGGGGGCACCAGGTGTGTGTCTGTGTGCCCACCCTGGAGCAAGTTATGCCAAAAGGTGGCAGCCCCTGATGATGCTAGCCCCCCCCCCCGTCCATCTCCAAAGAGTTTGTGTTGAGGATACTGTGAGAGAGAAGATGAAGAGGGTGGAGCCCAGCAGGCCCCCCTGGATGGTCAGCCACTCACTGGACGCCAGCTGGCGGCTGTACATCTGCATTCCCGTGAAGAGCAGGAGAGAGAGCAGTGAGGAAAGCACTAAGGACGTTCCCGTGCCAACCGCTGGGGAGACAGAAAGAGCAGGTCACTGCCGGAGGAAGCCGTTGTCCTTGTGGCTGATGTGTTTACAGAGGCTGGACAGGGGACCCTGCAGGCCCCCCGGGCTGGCCGTAACCCATGTCCTCAGGATCTGGCTGGATAAGCTTCCGTAGCCTGCCCCGGGGGCCACTTCCTAGCAAAATTCTTAGCAGAGCGTGGCAGTGCCCAGGACGTGAACATGTCTGGAGGCACTGGTGAGGCCCACTGTGACCATGCTACATGAGTCATAGCAGACTTTTAGCAGGGCCAGGGCCACACAGATGGGAAAGACGTCCCTTATCCACAATCCAAGGCTCCCCTCCGAGCGCCACGTTACCCACAATGCACCAAGCATGCAGCGGGGCAGGGCTGCTTGCCCAAAATTGCCACAGGTGAATGGCACTGCCTGACAGGTTAGCATGGCTGGGAGGGGCTCATGGGACCCACCTTAACCGTGATTCATTGCACCCCCTCTCCATTTCCGCCTGCCCATAATGATGCATTACCCACAATGCCCCTTTAGCCTGTGACCAAACCTTCAGCACAACCTGGCATGGCCAGGGATGGGCAAAGCTCACCCCAGCTGCCAGACTACCCATAATGCCCCATTACCCACCATCCCCCCAAGAGCATGCCAAGGAAGCAGACAGCAAAACTTTGAGCATTGATTGACCCTCTCATAAATCAAGTGCCCTTTTGCCCCCCACGCCCTCCTTTTAGATTGGCCCCTTACCCATAATGCACCGTGAGGCGCCCCCCGCGAACGGTCCGCTTAGACGCGATTCCCCCGTTGGAATCAAAGGTCCCTGGTTTTTCTCGGCTGCGCATGCGTCGCTTAAACGAGCTATTGCGCACGCGCGGGACAACCCACCGCTCCGAGCGGAGACGTGTAGTTTGCTTTCGCGCATGAGTATGAAGCCCTCGCCTTCACTCGAGGGGAGGGCGGAGTGGGTTAAGGCGTTTCCGCATGCGCGGCAGCTTACCGGCCGCGAGGTATTATTACAAGGAAGCCGCCTGTAATTTCCCGAGATCGGCCGCCAGGCGGCGCCTGTGCACAGATTCGGATACGCTTCTCAGAGGAGGCGGCGGACAACGGCGAGGCGGCCGGCGCCGTGAGTCTCAGGTTCGAGTCCCGTCTCATCCACAGGATTATTTGGGTGCTTGGACTAATGCTAGAGCAAAGTGGCAGTCAAGGTAAAAAAAATCCTCTAAATATTAGTAGCAGGAATAGCTGCTGAAAACCAGCACAGTCCCAGACTGGTGGTGGCAAAAATGTTCTTTTTTAAAAGGGGAAAGTCACTCTGCCCAAACTCAGAAGCACCCATTTTTATCAATACAGGGCTAAGCCTAGGCTGAGCCCCTGGCACTGTGAAAACAGATCCCGAGCCCAAAACCCGCTGAGCCGATTAGCTCAAAGGACCACACCCATGGGAATACACGTCTCTCTCAGATTGCAAGTTCCTCGGGGCGGGAGCCTTTCCCCTTGCTTGCTTGCTCGCTCGCTCGCTCGCTTTTGTTGCTTAGGAAAGCCTCAGCTATGTGTCTGTTGTGCTGCATAAGTACTGCTAATAATTTATAATCCACGACTCCCCCCCCCGTGCCAAAACCGGCACTTCAAAGCTGAAAGGGGTGGGGGAGGAAAAGCTCGTTGGGTTGAGCATCTCCTGACGAGCATGCGCATTGCCTCTTCCTCCCCCCCCCCC